CGATTTCAAATTCATGAGTTTACATTTTAGCTTCACGAATTCAAATTTTAACTTCATGAATTCACGATTGCATCTTCATGACTTCAAATTCACGACTTCGCGATTTCAACTACACGATTTTACTATTTTAATTCACGAATTCAAATTTATGAATTTATTTTTTTCAAATTCATGATTTTAACTTCGTAAATGCACGATTAAAACATGAATTCACGAAGTCCAAACATGAATTCATAAAGTTGAATTCGTTTCAGTTTATATTTCAATGTTTGTATTGAGCTTAGAACTTTACAATCTGAAGTCATTATATCATTGATGTGTTCATGTCAATTTTTATCTTCATTTTAAGTAAGTCCAAGGTGATATGAGTTTTAATGTAAGTAAATAAGTTACGATTTTCAAAGGATATAGAAGGACGTTGTTCATCATGTAAGAAAAAAAAACACATTTTATTTTCGCTTTCTATTACTTATTTTATCTTGTTTGCTTGTTTTGTCACTAACTTTGTTAAGTTATCGCTTATTTTTTGATCGCTTATATGTAGTTTTTTAAAAATAATATTTGAAATAGAAATAAAATCTGATCTAGACGATGTGTTGGTTACAGTTCAGACTGAAACATAATAGAATTTTCTCTTATCGTAAAAGGTTCCAGGAATATGAAAACAAAATATTAAAGACCTTCATGTTCATGAAAATGAAAAGGAAAAAGTCCAGTTTTTAAGAGAAATATGAGACCTGACCAAGTGCTACGCAAAATTAAGAGACGAGGAGAAACAAAAGCAAAACGTGTTTACTACAAAGGGATGTGGTTACTTTTAAAAATAAGTTTAAGATGTGTCTGTTTACATTTTTGCAACAGGAGAGGGGCACAAACGAGGCGAACCATGTTGCAGAGAGAAAATATGATAAACAAGATCAACTAGAAAGGCGGCGTACAAATGAACGCAACCCTCCCCGCCCCAGTAAAAGACCCCCAAGCCCCCGAAATTCCCCCTCCCCTTTTTGTAGGGGTAATTTATTATGTAGAGACAAGGCTTTAACTCAATTGTGTTTTGTCTGTGATGTGGTTTTTACCATAATAAATAAACAAACACAAAAACAAAGTTTCTTGATAAAACATATTTAATAACCGTATTAAACGAAAAATAAAAATAAATATTCTTTCTAATTTTAAGAATTTTATAGAAATAAATTTTAACTAACACAACAAGAAAGTTAACCAACATATATAAATTATAATTCTTTTATGTCATGTGATGTTATTTACAATAAGATGAATAAATTACACTCAACAAAATTTCACGGTATGAAAATTAATATAAATGAGAGATAGGGCAGGGCAGTAGCGTAACTATTTAAGCAGCGTTTCCAAAGATGTTACTTTATACATGGTATTCTTACTATGTAACCAGCATTATTACATACTCTAACACTATCGGATATATCTCTTATTAAAAACAAATAAGGTCGGAAGTGTGATATATTACACAACAGTGCATTTGCCGTTCTTGTCTCCTTCCTCTGCTTATTTTAAAACCGACACAGCTGACGGCGCCATTTTTGTTTGAAAAAATATGATTAAATAAAAACAACTTTTTGGTAAATTTTTTGTTCTGAAAAACTAACTAGAATGATAGAAAATGGTCTAAGAAGATAAAACGAACACCATATCTTGAATTCAGTCATTAAACGCTGCACAGACGTTTAAAGTGTTTGCTTACATGACGTCACAATATATAGCGCCAAATATCGCTTGCTAAAACAGTCCAACAAAGAACGCTATTTCAATCGTCGCAAACAAGTTAAATTTCACATTTATTTCACTATAAATAATTTATGTCTTGCTTGAAAAAACATAAAGTGAAACAAATAAACCACACATAAATTGTAAATCCACTTTTCAAAAATTCATTATTCTCCAAAATGTGTGTGCATAAAAAACGGAAGACTTAACTGACAGTTTTTTTTTTCAACCGAAGGAACAGCCTTTACAGGACGTTTCTTTTGGAAACTAACAGGTGAAAACAAATTTAACCATCCAATCAAACATTTAATCCAACTACATATTTTCTCCTGACGTGTTAGAATAAAAATATATATTAATTATTTGCATTATAGTATAAATGGCCATTTAATGTCAGGTGACCGCCGAAAAGAGGTGACCGTAAAGTACAGTTCCTACTGTAATAAATGCATGTTTTTTCGTTCAAATTTGCTTTGTAATTAATCACTCGTGATTATATTCCTTAGAAAAATTTAAACACAAACCGTGCCATTAATGTACAACAATGCACTCAGAATTGATATATATTTTCTAATCCATTTAATTTAGTTACATAAATTGAAATAACAAAAGTGTCGAAAATAAAAAAAAATATATTCATTTACTTTTTATTTCCACAAAAAAAAACAAAAAAAAAAAAAAAAAACAACAATCTTTTTCAAACTAAAGGTAATTATCTTCAAATCAAATTAAACAAACTGTTGTTTTGAATCAAAGTAATAAAGGAATTACAAACTTAGTGTCATATTTTTTTAATTTTAATAGAATAGTAAGAAATACAAAAGAAGGGGAAACAACCTGGAAACTAATACATTAGCAAAAGTATGTAACATGCTAATATTACGTGTTATGTGAGTAATGTTTTTAAGTCGGTTAAAAAAGGCTGAATTCTGTAGAATTAAAAAATATTACAACTAATGGTATTGTAGGGCGCATTATCCCTCAGAAAGTTTTTAAATTGTGTCCCCTTTTTGTTTTAAAGTGGAGAATATAAATTAATCTGAAAAGACATCTAAATCATGGGTTAAACTTTTAAGAGCTTGTTGGAAAATTGTTGGCTGAGGACAATAGAATAAATTGTGAAAACAATTTGCCTTTTAAATAGCAACATATTAACTAAGTAGTATTTTAACTTCGATAAAGATATAAACAACAAGAACAGAATATCGTTTAGTTAACTGCAAATAAATCAGTTTTTTTAGAAGCTACAAAGTTTATCAAAATATAAAGTTTTTTAGCAATAAAAACGCATTACTTAGTCATAATGGGCCTTGCGTTAAATGTCAGATGCAGTTTAAGGTATGATTCCTTCCACAATTAGAAATCTTCCCGCATTTTACTTTTATTCAGTTTCTGAAAACTGCCTACGATATATTGTCAAGGATATCGTCTTGTGACACGTTCATTTTCCCATCACTTAAATATCAATGCTTTGTTTTGAATAATAATAATTAGACCATAAAATAAATTAAAATGCGGCTATTTAACGTCTGCAAAAAAATTTTACGCAAGAACATTGAACACAGATTATGATAATTTTGGCTTCCCTTGACCCCAGGAACCTGCATCAAAAGATATGATGGCAAGTTAAAGATGAATATAATAGTTTTATATTTAGGTTAAGGTGGAAGAAATATTTAGATTAAGTGGCATTCACTGGAAACCGGTTTTCATCCAAATGTTTTGCATAAGAATGTAATTTTAACTTCAGGCCCAATCAAAAGCCTTATCTTGATTTTAATTCATTGTTTCATGAAATTTAAATTGATCTTAAACTGGGATAACATTAAATGGTAAAAAACAAAATGTTACAAAGTGTTGATTTTGAAAGAAAGAAAAAAACTATTTTTTAAATTAGAACTGAGGACGTTTTCGGGAGTTTTCATATAGACATATAGGCAAAACTATAACTGTTCAATACTTGGCATGTTGTTAGAATATGATAACAGAGTTATGAAAAATGAAAACGTTGACCCCAATTGTGTTTCGCTTAAAACGTTTCTGTTATCATATTCTAAAAACATGCCAAGTTTAAAAGAATTCTTTTGAACAGTTTTAATTTTGCCTATGTCTGTATGAAAACTTCCGAAAACGACTTTAAATATTAAACAGTTCATTAAAATATCATAATTATAATGATAGGATAACAATAAAGACAAATTTAGTATCAGGATCAATATTTGGACCAACATAGCCTGTAAAATGTTTTTATTACATGCTTTTCGATAGTTTATAGAAATATATCAATGAAATAAAACTGTTATTTCACTGTTTGAAACAGTGAAATTATCAAATTAATATTTTTCCCTGTTTTGAATTTAAGCCCGTTACGTTGTTTAAGTGAAATACCAGCGTGCACAGTACTGGAAACCAACTTACTGGCGTAACGTCGTAAATGACGTCACTTTGTTTTAATTTTTGGCGCACTTTTCATTAAGCATTAGGTAAAAACGTCTTTTTAAACGTTATTTTGCATATAATAAAAAAAATTGTTTAGTTAAGTGTAAGATTGACATATATTTCACCTCGTGAACACCAAATGTTTTTATTCCACTCGTGGCTGCGCCACTTGTGAAATATACCTTTTGGTGCTCACTCGGTGAAATATATTCCGATCTTACACTTAACTTAACAAATATCCTCTATATAATATGTTGTACTATAGAGAGGGCAAATATAAGTATTATAATGTTTAAATTATAGTTAAACAGCATTGTAGATGCTTATTACCAAATGAATGTAAGAATGAATGCGAACTAAATTTTTCACAATGAAGCAAAATGTAAAGACAAATTTTGGCTTCCATATTAAATACAAATAAAACAAATTATGTATAACAGTTCTACTTTAAACCAGCAACCAGAAGAAATGTCATTCAGAATCATTCAACACGTGACTTAACAAAACTAATTGTGAATTTGAGAAACAAATTGATATTGTTGTATAAAATGTTGTTACATATATCATGTTCTAGTGAACAACAGAGAAGATACTTTATACTATCTGTGTCATGTCTTATATGTTTCATGGGTAGAAGTGATCGAATATACAATAAGATAGTATTTTGCGTATAATATGATATAATTATCTGTTCCTTGAAATAAATATTTTGTCTTGTTTATGAAATACAATTTGTCTTATTCATTTAATTTACAATTTGGCTTTGATTGATATTGATGAAAAATAAATCTCTTTCTGTAATGTGTACATATTTATTATTCTTCTTTAAGAACAATTTCTTCTGACTTAGCACGGCGACGAAGTAATGCCTTCTCCAATTCATTTGTAAAGTCCGCACCTGGATTAATATCTTGAGCTGCTTTCCTTAGGTAATTCCCAGGGATGTTTCCACGTCTCCCACTTGCTTCTGCAAGGAACCAACCTTGATTATATTTAAGCTATATAGTTTTCTTAACAAAAAATAAATATAATGAGTCCTTTACAGCTTAAATACGCCGTTTCAGTTGTGAATTTACCACATAGATAGTTTTTACGTTTTGTACAATAACGCTCAGTTAAAATAACTAACAAGAAATGTTAAAAGTCCATTTCAGCGCAAAAGAAAGAAATGTGTAAATATGCAGAAAATTTTAGCCTTAATAATTTGTTCATAATATTATTCATTTGAATACAATTAATAATCAAAACATTTATCTAAAGCCACAAATACAAATAATTTCGATGATATCTGTCCGGAACGCTTACTTAAAGTTTTCGGTGTGACGTAAAACCCAACGATACAAATAAATAAAATTTACATTTAGCCTGGTGAATAAGTGTAAAAGATTTGCAGAGATTGCAAGTGTTAAAAAATTTCAGTAGTTAATTACCAACAGTCTAGAACCTGGTCGGGGCCCCTGTGACCGAGTGGTTCTGGTCATTGGCTTCAAACCATTTGACCCACACTCCTGTAAATTCATTGATATGAGGAAGCTATCCAGCTAGCGTACGGACGTTGGTGTTTTTTTTATCATATTCTGGTTGTGTTTGAAATAATGCTAGGAAGGACAAATGAGGTATAACTCTACCCGGAAAACATGATTGTGGACATATGACCAACACCGTGTTGGTTTTTCTTTATACGGAAGAAAACAAAACATGCAGAGCCTTGTCAGACAGCAAAATTGAAACTCCTGGAAATGAGATAGTTTTAAAGTGGATTCGCGGCCGCCGATGGGCAGACAGACGTTTATCAAACAACATGGTTTCCGGTCAATAACTAGAACCAAGGATGATATATTTAATTAAAAAAACATTGTATATAAGATATCGCTTGATATTGCATTACGGCCAACTAGGGTTATGATTAAGTAACTTTATAGAAATAGAAAAACGATAGCCGGTCAAAGACTAAAGAAAGGAATGAATGTTTCAATGAGTTTCAAACAAAGCCGTCGCGTGGGATAGCTTTGGGTTTTGTAGGGATATGGTCGCTTTAACAGTTACTTTATAGAGAAAATATTTTTTCCGGTTAATAACTAGAGTTTTGGAATGAGTAATTACATTGAAATTTGTTTCCTATAAAGCTTATGTAAAGTCCTTGCTATGGATTTTGAGCCTCCTTATGATCAAGGTCTATGTTAATGTTACTTGAAACAGGAAATCGGTTTCCGGTCAATATAACTGATTTTTAGAATGAATAATTGCAATCAGACCAAGGATGGGATTGCTTTAGGATCACCCTGTGGTCAAGGTCAAGGTCATTTAACTAAATATAGAAAATTTGTTTCCGTTCAATAACTAAAGCTAGTTATGAGATATTTCAACGAAATCTTGTGTAAAGCAAACTTATATTACGACCTAACATTAGTTTGTTTTAGCGCTACGTAGGGTAGTGTTCAATGTCACTTTAACAAAAAAAGACGAATTTGGTTTCAGGTCAATAACTAGAGTTTACTTGACATTAGCAAGCTCGTATGAGGAGCTCGCTTCGTATTTATTTACTCTACCCCTTGCTACCCCAACAAAATCAATGTCAATACGATATTATTTTTCGATTTGATGTCCGAGGGGTGTTCAAATATGAATGCAACTAAGCCAATATCTAACTTTTAACAAGGTTTTGCACGAACTGTATGTACATGTATCGTATAGAAGGTTGTGTAAGCTTTCCATTGATACAATACATTTATAAATCAGTTCAGTCTAGCGATAAACGCTATCTTCTCGTATATACTTAAGCTAAAATCGTTGGTAAAAAGGTATCCTTTCACTGACCAAATAAAGTTCTATATCATGAACCGCTGTATTCTTATATATAATTAATGAAAATATGTCGTATTTATTGGAACACTGAACTTTCTTTTTCATCTGTTCACACGCAGGTGTAAGAAACTTAAAAGAGTTGTGGATTCAGAAAAAGATGCACCTGATGCACGCCGTACGAAAACTAAAAACTTCGCCCAAAAACGGTTGAAAAATTAAAGGATTTGATTGCTACTGATGCAAGATTTACAACTAGGTATATAGCTGAATAAATTTAGTATCTTGGTAGGAGTCGCTCCAAACAATTCTAAGATGTGATTTAAAAATGAGAAGGATAAGTGCCAGATTGTAATCCCACCCCCTTACAAAAAGAGCAAAACTGTCTTAGGGAAAGAATCTTTAAACAATTGTTGAAACAGCTCCCTGAATACAACAATCGATCTTTTGCAAATATCATCACTGGCGATTAGACGTGGTTTCACTTTTATGAGCAAAAGCGAAAGAACCATAACAAATATGGGCAACCAAAGAAAGGAAGTCAAAGACTTTTCATAGCAAAAACGCACCATGAACGTCAAAAAGGTCATGTATGCAATTTTCTTTACAAAACAAGGTCCTGCTATTTCCTATTTGCCGCAGCAAAGGGTAAATCTGCAAATGTTAAGTTTTACAAAAGCGAGGTCCTTCATAAATAAATGAAATATTTCAAAAACCGTCGACCAAAACTGGTCTCCGTGGTGTCAGGTTGTTGCATGACAATGCAAAGCGGCAATTGTACGAGTATATCTGAAACAGGAAAAGGTTGTCTCGGTGTGGCTGTTTTCCAGTGTCTGAACAGTATACCTCGAAAAGATTTGAAACCGTAGCGGTGAGTGACAAGTGGTTGGAAGTCATCAGTCTTAATCACTCGCCGACGGATGACCATTAATTGAATTATTCTTAATTCAAAAAGGTTATATATTTTAACTTTAAACAATATACTTTGGCTTGACTTAGTCTTAGTGTCTCATATAAATAAATGAATACAAAATACTTAATGTTTTCTTTTAAAATGTTTTAGAAAAAGGTGCTTGTGAATTACAACACCAAATCAATTGAAAACTATACCTGGTAATTGGGTTTGCACAATGTCCCGACGATGTACCTACAAAGTTAAAATTGAAATTATTTGGACACAATTTTGATATAACAGTGATGCAATTTTATGAACTATGACAATCATACAAATTATACAATTGCAAATAAGTTATTCTTCTGATTCAAGAGGATGATATCTATATCAAAAAGGTATGGCAAAAGTACATGATATATAAATTAATCGTACTTATTCACTTTATCTTTCGATGGATGGGTATTGACTTAAAATGCATAAATGTAAAGCAATGTCCTTCTAAATCTTCTGATTAATATATCTATAAACAAAACCCGGTCAACTGAACACTTACACGGAAGTAAGTCATATTATTAATTAAATGACTGTTACGCTACTAAAAGATTCCGATGAGCTCGGTCATCAACTTCGTAGTTGGCAAAGAGTTACATTCCATTTTAAGTCAAAGAAATGATCAATAGCTCCGATATCATTTGTTTCCTGTCCTTGCCACCGGGATGGAAAATGTAAATCTATATTTTATAAGAAGTTATGTTGATAAAAAAACATACGTAATGAGTAGGTATCGTATCCGTTCTTATATCCAACATGCTTCTTCGTCGCAGTATCGTATCAGGTGATGGTTTCTTTGCAATCGGAGGTGCAGCTTTATAAAATATGTTGTTAAAGTTTTATGCTCTTAATGTTAAAATGAAAGTCAATAGCTTAAGCTCTAACCATATATGAATTTATAGATTTTCATTTTTTTAAATCGATTTCGATACTTTTCGAAAGGAAACGAATTTAAAAAGTGATAATAACTTGGGGATAAAATAATTAAAAACATTTGAAATATTGTACACTTAGTGACAAATTATAAAAACCATAATTATCATCACCATCGTATTCACAATTCAAATACTTATAGGTACCTTTAGGTGACAGCGTGACCGAGTGGTTTACGCGTCGGACTAGTAACCTAAGGATTGCTGACCATGTTGGTTCACAACCCGTCAGAGTCAGCCGTTACGTCCATGAGCAAAAAACTTTTCACCCATTGCTTAGCACTTTTTTGTTCCAGGACTGTTTCAGAAGTGTTTAAATTAGCTTATTCCTTTCGAGACAATCAGACTAGATTTATTAGTATAAATAAATGTTTTCTAACGTGTTCATTATGATTATGTTAACAGAATACAGGCATTTGCCAATTAATTAAAACAATTCTTATAAGATGATTTGGACGTCAGAAAGTGTTCCTTGCGACTTGCATCTCATATTCATTGAAAATACATATATACAATATATGTTAAGTCACCACCTGTATCTTCAGCTTTCTGTACATAATTCCCAGGGAAGTATCCATATCTCCCGCTTGCTTCACCACAGAACCAATCACCACATTTTTCCCAAACCGTCACAACCTGTCCTGCCTTGATTTCCATATCATCATCCGAGCTTGGTTCGTAATCGTACAAAGCTATATATTTTTCTTAACATAAAGAAAAAACAATTAAATATAATGAATACTTCACTGGTGCTGTTCATATGCCGTTGTTGTTTTTAATTTACTACATAGATAGTTCAAATTACGTTTCGTACACTAACGTTCAACAAACAGATTGACCTGATTACAAGTTAATAAACTTAATATCGTAAATCCATTTTAGCTCAAACAAGAAATATTTTAATATGCAGGAACTTTCAGGTCTAAATAATTTGTACATACTGTACAATGTACTGTCATTTAATTGAATACTATAAATTATCAAAACATTTATCTCATTTCGTTCATATCTGTTCGGAACGCTTATTTTAGGTCTTCTTCATTATCAACCTCAGATTATACAAATGTATCTTTGCTGTATTTGAATTTACCAGGCTTTTGTTGAGGTACTGATATCGTATCGTGACCTGATTGTACATGAAATGCAGGATCTGTGTGTGCTTCTTGTTCTCGTTCTGTACTTAGAATTGGAGATCCTATACATTAAAAACAGCATTTATTTCTTAACATTTAGCCTTGTGAATATGTGTAAAAATTAGCAAAGCTTTAAATTTAGAACAGTTTAAATGTGTCAAGCTACCAACAGTAGTATTGGAATCTAGTACATTCTACCTTACTATGTCGAATATGAATAAGTGAGTGTGTAATCTATGTTTGGGAAGCTGCATTCCTGATCACTTGTCAAATAAATTGGTCCATTCTTATAAAAACTGCCAGAATTTTAATGACACTATGTAATCTTACTGTGTTTATCTGTAGTGTGTTGAATTTAAAACGTAACATATTTTCTTTGTATGTATTCAAATGATGTTAACTATACATTTCAAACGAGACTGTATAATAATTATCTTTTTTTTTTTCAAATATCAAATTTGAGCATAATATAAACTTTAAATGTCAACTTTTTGTGTATTGTAATATGGATTAAAATATAATTAGAACAGGTGAAATATCCAAAAACCAGTTAAACAAGTTATCTCTTCTTTATCTATGAAGGTGTGGAAAAAACACCCGTCAGAATGTTTTATTTTTCTCATTGACATAGTTATGAAATACAATGTATTATCAATATTCGGTTGTGAAACATGGAGTAATGTCAGTTTCTTTTGCCCGGGCCCTGCTTTCGCTAACGTTCACAACTGAGACAAATCTCATCCTAAGATTGTCTCAATATTGTCTGACCTTCTTACCTGAGCAAGTCTCATGTTGGCTTTCTCTTAACTTTGTTTCAACACTTGAAATCTCTACTGAGACTGTGTTGTCCCAAGGACATAAACGGCTATCTTGACATGTTGGTATTAATTAAGATATGCCACAAAGATTTTCTTTGTTTTGAAGTAAATAGTTGCTATGAATGTAAGCTGGCGAAATGTACAAATTTGAGGCGCAACAGAAACACGATTCTTGTTGTTGTTTTTTTTTTTTTTTTTTTGCCTGTGGGTTTCATCAAATGTTTTGCTAAACGTTGTTCTTCAGTTTTTTTCACAAAAACACATGGATTAAGAGATTAATTAGTGTCATTTTTTACACCAAATTGTAGCAGATGAAATTATCTAATATTATGTCAGATTTCTGAAAGAAATAGTGATTTTTTAGAAATTGTGCACAAAGTGTTTTTTGTCTTTGTCTGCATTGGATTGGATTTACCTATACTTGTGTATTTGATTTAACCTGTGTAAAATTGATAACAGTGAACTATTGAATTACTGAGAAGACATACAAAGGATTAACTTCTATAATAGACACACTATAATACAGGTTTATACAAAAGAAAACTGTTAACAGGTTAACTGATCAGAAGTATCTGCAGGCCAAAAGTTTGAACTTCTTTTCGTGGCCATTATTTTTGTTTATAAAAAATACAATATAATCTGAATACAATGTCAAATAGAGGACAAGGTCAGACATTGGGTAATACTAAGCATAATCGCCAACAACAACATAAGTCATTGAAAGGGAAATCTTATACAGATGGACCATCTCTTAAAAATAAAAGAACTCATTCTGATGTCAGTGAAGAAAGCAATACTAGTGTGCTTGGTTTGTCCATTATTCAAACACAACTAGATGAAATGAATGAGAAACTTAGCGGAGTAAAACAGAATCTGGAGCATGTTCTTAAAAAAGAGGATATTGAAGGTCTGATTAAAAAAACTGTTTGTAACATTATGGATAAACTTGAAAAAAAAGATGCATGAAGATATATAGAATAAGGTTCAAGAAAAAAAATTAATGAAAAAATTGACTCTATAACATTTGAAAATCAACAATTGACAGACCAGCTAAAATCTACAGAAACAACATTATAAAAAAAAATAAATGACTTAGAAGAACAAATCAAACACAATGAAAAGAGAAGCAAGGAAGCTTTGAAAAACTCCAACTACAATGAACAATACTAACGTAAAAATAATTTAAAAATAATGGATGTTCAAGAAGATGAAGGTGTAAATAACAACAACCTTTTGACAAAAGTTTGTAATATCTTTGCAACACAGAATGTAGAGGTAGTTAAAAAAGAGGTGTTTGCCCTACATCGTATCCCAACAAGAAAAGATGGAATAAGACCAGTGCTTAATTATTATATGAAAACTATCAATAACAATGTTAAGTCCAGATTGATGAAAAAAAGAAAGAAATGAAAAGGATTGCTCATAGACTGGTAGATGACGTCACATCAGCCAACACTGGTTTGATTAACCGCTTAAAACTAAATACTGATATAGAAAGTGCTTGGTACTTTAATGATTCTGTATATGGAATGACACACACAAAAAATCGCACTTAGTTTGACTTATATGACAACATATTAAATGAAGTTATTGCTGCATCCAAAGCCCGTTCCAACAGTGGAAGGAGATAAAGTGAACTCAAACAGACAATTAAGTATAAACATTGTACATTATAATAGCATTGCTGCCTGTTCTGATTTGTTGGTTTGTTTGAACGTGTTTTTTTTTATTAACATAAAACAATAATGTGATTTGTTATTGAATCCTTAGAATTGATATTTATCTTTATAAACCATTTCACTATTTCTATCGTCCCTTTCAATTTTCATTCTTCACTAGTGTTCATTTTTAAGTACATGTGAATAATAACTATCCTAATTTTTGGCTTATGTATAAATATAATGCTAGTTTTAGAACAAACAAGGTTTTTCAATAAATTTACAGTTATATCCAATTATAGAACAATATATAAATCCAGTGACTTGTGTGTACTGTGTTTTTGTGTAAAGATTGTTTTTAAAACATTAGTTTATTTTTGTTGCAATGCTGTTTATTTTTGTTTTACTAATATATCATTTTATTTGTACCTTGTTGAGGCTTGAATTATTGTTTTATTTGGTGTATATAATATTACTCAGATGTAGTTGTCACTTGAATTGTATAAATAGAAGGAAATGTATAAATGAATCAATATTATGAGAAGTCTCAACATTTTCTGTTACAATTGCCGTAGTTTAAATGATAGTATTAAAAGATGTGATGTGTTAAATCTTTTTCAAACTAAAGAAGCTGATAAACTTTGTCTGCAAGAAACCCATTTTGTAAAACATATAGAAAATGAAATTTATTCTGAGTGGAATGGTTTAGGCTATTTTAGTCATGGAAAATCAAATGCCAAAGTTGTAGCAATTTTATTCAGAGAGAATTTAAATATTAAAATTAATTCATTTAAAACTGATGATAATGGATGATATATAATTTTACAGGTATTGTTTGACTCTTCAACTTTTATATTAGTCAATATTTATGCCCTTAACGTAGATAGTCCAAATTGTTTTTAAAGTTTTTTTTAATGATATTGATACCTTTAATGAGAATGACTCTCTAATAATTTGTGGAGACTATAATCTAAGTACAAAATTCTGCTTTAGGTTATCATAATTATAAATCAAGAAATAATGATATTAAAGCTAGCCTAAGGAATGTTTTACTAGATATTATAGATTTTGAAGATAAAAAAATTTGTTGACCTGTTTAGAGAGTTGCGTGGTAATGTCAAAAAATACACATGGCGACGCACAAATCCTATACAGCAAGGTAGATTAGATTTTTTTCTCCTCTCAAGAGATTTGTATCAATATGTAAGAAATAGAGGATATTTGTTTGTTTGTGTGTAAGATGAAATTTTATTTCATCGAGTGGGCTTTAAAAACAGTATTCTCACGAGTGGCGTAGCCACGAGTGAGAATACTGTTTTTAAAGTTCACGAGATGAAATAAAATTACATCTTACACAACAAACAAACAAATTTTCTTTTTATTTTATGCTTAAAAACAAGTTAAAACGAAATTTCCTTAATATTTACGTTAATATTAAAATCTGTTTTCCCATTTAGAGCCTCAAAAAAGTCGAATTTCTCATTAAATTCAAGAAGTCATGGGCTGAAAAATAAGTTCCACAATCAACGTTAAATGGTGGTGATAGTATTCATTTTATTAAAAAATATGTCTGATCCAATGTTTAAATGATAAAAACAAACAATTCTAGTAGGATAAAAAGTCCAACCATCCATCCATATTTCTGTTACTGACTGCGTAATTATATTAGACCTGGCTTTGTTAAATGTAAGCGGCCGCCATTTTTAAAGTTGTGTATTTCACTGGAGGAAAATAATTGTGTTTGATTCAGAGGGATATCATTTGGATTTGTTAGTCATACACCTTTTTAAAAGAAAGAAAACTTATATGAGGATTGTAACAGACAATAAATAAGTGTTAACAGATGTGTAAACATTCAAAAAAGTGGATAGGAAATTGGAAAACTTGGAAGCCTTACGAATGCTGGGTTGTTTTACATATTCTTCGACTGAAAGCTGTCATTGCTTTTCAAGTTTTCATAAAGCATTCTGCAGTTTTTGCTCGTAGGATACTTAAATGTTCCCAAATGTCATCAAGAGCAGTTTTGCATGTGGAAGGAATGTATTTTTCAGACTGTAAAAATGAAACAAAAAATTAAAGAGACGATATTTGGTGATTGGTAATTTTAATGAATAGAAGTAACTTACTGTAAGTTTTCTTCTTTTTATTACTTTTGACATATAAGTTATTTATAAATTTCAGCTTTGCTTTTCTTTAAACAGTCTGATATTGACGAAATAGTCAGCAAAAATAAAATTGAGGTACAACATGGGGAAAATCTTAAAAAAGTAGTTTCGTCATTGAAAAGTGTGAAATTATATTTTGATAATTTTCACTGTGAAATTATCAAATATAATTTTCACAGATAAATCAGTAATCCACTGAAAAGCATAAAATAAAATGTGATATTGATATTAGTTATAAGTCTGACCATTCAATAATATATTTAGATATTTGTTTTATTCATGTGAATCATGGAAAAGGTTTATGGAAATTTAACAATGCTCCTTTACAGGATATTGATTTTTTTTAAATATTATTAATGAGAAAATAAACGAAGTTAAATTTCAATATTGTTTACCAGTATATAATATTGATTATGTGTTAGATATAAAAAATAAAGACATAGAATTTGTTATTTATGATGAACTTTTTTTAGAAACACTTCTTATGGAAATAAGACGTAAAACCATTTCTTATAGCTCTTTTGAGGTCAAAGAAAGAAATATGTTTGAAAAACAACTTATGGATGAAATTATTTTTATAGAGCAACATTTGACAAATGACAATAAAGAAAGGTTGTTACATTTACAAAATGAGCAAAATGAGTTGTTAAGATCAGCTATGATTAGGCCAAGGTCAAAATGGATAAAATCTGGAGAAAAACCTACTAATTATTTGTTAAGTTTAGAGAAATCACATTGTCAGAAAAGTCATACTTTTTATAGAAATGGATAATGGAACATTTATTTATGTCCAAAAGGATATACGTATTAGAAAAAAAACTTGTTGCTATTATGAAAATTTATATAATGAGGTAAATGTGACTTCAGAAATGAGGTAAATGTGACTTCAGAGTTGATAGAGAACTGAGAAAATTGTACAGTTACTAAGTTGACAAATGATGAATCACTTAAGCTTTACTCTCATATGATGAAGTTTCTTTAACATTAAAGAATATGAAAAATGATAAAAGCCCGGGTTGTGATGGGTTTACAACAATTTTCTTTAAACGTTTTGGAACAGAATTGGACATTTTGTAGTTAGGGCTATTAATTATGCTTATAATTAAATACTTTTTCAAAAAGTCAAAAATTAGGAACAATCACATGTATTCCAAAAGAAAATAAACCTAAACAGTTTTTGATAAACTGCAGACCAATAACTTTATAAAATGTTGTTTATAAATTGGCATCTGGTAGTATAGCAAATAGAATTAAAGGTGTTTTAGATATTTTAGTGTCAAAAGATCAAACTGGAGTTGTTAAAAATATATATATTGGAGAGAATACTAGATTATTGTATGATATAATGGAATTTACTGAAGATAATAATATACCATATTTAATTATGATGATCGATTTCGATAAAGGTTTTGATACATTATCTTTTAAATTTATAGAAAATGCCTTTCACTGTTTAATTTTGGTCCTATGTTAAGGAAATGGATATCATTATTTTTACACAATACTGAAACTTGTGTCATACTAAATGGCTTTTTATCTACATTCTTCAAAGTTAAACGAGACTGTAGGCAAGGTGATCCAATTTCACCGTATATATTCATTTTATGCGCAGAAATGTTGGCTATTAGAATAAAACAATGTAATGATGTTAAAGGTATATTTATAGATGATGAAGAATATAAAATTACACAATTTGCAGATGATACATCACTATTGTTAGATGGTACTGAAAAATCATTTAATAATGCTCTAAAAGTGTTGAATATATTTTCAGAGATTTCTGGACTAAAAGTTAATTTTGATAAAACCAGTCATTTGGATAGATTCCCTTAAGTACAGTACTAGATCAATCAAGACAAAATGGAAACTTACATGGGGTGATACACAGTTTAAATTGGTAGGTTTGATATTTGATGTAGATTTAGATAAAATGATTGATTAAAATCTTTATGAAAAATTACAAAAGGTAAAAAATAGTATAAGTCATTAGAAAGAAAGAATGTTAATAGGTAAAGTCAATGTTGTTAGGTCTATTTTACTTCCATTATTTACACATTGTTTTACAAGTTTGCCAACTCCTTGTTCAATATTTTTAAAGTCACTTAATGATTTATTTTATGACTTTATATGGGGAGACAAGGCAAAAATAAAGCAATCAGTTATGACAAAGACATACAAAGATGGTGGTCTTAACATGGTTGATATTTATAGTTATATACACAGTTTAAAGATAAAACGGCTTAAAAGGTGTGTCAGTAATTGTGATGGAAAATGCTTTGACCTTGTGAAATCACTTTTCAATATTGATAAAATTTTTGATACTGCAAAATTGTTCTGTGAATTGATTATTGATAAGATGAAGAATAGATTCTGGATTGATGTTTTGAAAGCCTATATTGTACTTATTGATAGCTTTATATTGATGATATTGAACAAGTGTTACATATGCCACTATTTTATAACCATAAATTGGTAACAGGAAGTAATTTATATTTCATTAAAACCTTATATGATCATGGATTTAGATTTGTAATGACATTTTAAATCAACATGGAGAGTTTTTAGAATAAAGCTACATAGAACACATTACATGTAAACAATTAATTTTTTACAGTATCATAGTTTGAAACTGGCAATAAACAGATACACACAAAACCTTAATATTTGTATCCAAAATGCCTTACAGTTCAGTATCCTATTATAAGTTGTTACATCAAACCTATCATAGTTGTCAATAACAATCATAAATATGTTTATGAAACCATGGCAAAAACTACAGAGATACCAACATGTGAAGAAAAATGGACATTATACTTTGGAGACATTACCTTAAATTGGCAGTTTATATTTGGTTATGTATTTAAATGTACTAAAGATTCATATATATAATTGTTTCAGACAAGAATTATTCACAGAATATTGGCAACAAACTCTCTTTTATTTAAAATGAAAATAGTTAAATACTAAAATGTGCACTTTTTGTGAATGTCAAGAAGAAACACTGATACTTTTATTATGCAACAAGATTCAGCCAATATTTCAGTTTCTGAAAGAATATATGCATAAATTTGATACCTTTTTTAATTGTAAATCTTTTATTCTAGGCTGTGAACTTAATGATTATAGATATGATATTTTGTTTTTAGAATTACAAAGATACATTTATTTGTCTAAGCGAAACAAATTGTTACCTACTTGTACTGGTTTTAAAAATAGCTTGAAATTAGCTTGGAATATGTATAAAAATATGAATTTGACAGAAGAAGAAATCAATAGATGAGCAATTGTTAAATCTCTTATTGAATAACTGATATAACTACATCAAAATTTGATAATTCTACTAATATAAAAGAAAACAACTTCAAAGCATGCAAGATATTTATTTCAGATGTTATTTTCGCTGTTATTTTCTTTTATAATGTAAATAAATAATATAATTATTAATTTTATTAATTACATGTATATGTGTTAACTGTTAATCATTATGCAATGTGATACAATATTATGTATATGATTTGATTGATATGTATGTTGATATGTTTGAATTGTATATGCAATACATGTAAGGTATGATGGGGATGCCCTCGACCCCTTCAGACCTATTACGAGGAAAATAAACGGGGTAACCCAGTTGGGGCCTCAAAAAACAAACAAACAAAAACACAAAAAACATAATATTATTATATATATACGTATAAGACAATTAAATAAAATGATTTTTGTTGTTGTTCTTGTTTTTGTGTTTTTGTCATTGATTTAGTTGTTGTTGTTGTTGTTGTTTTCTTTTGTATTTTGTATTAACAGCATAATTTCAAAAAGAGATTATATATTTTCTAGTACAAACAATTACAAATGGGTTATATTAATTGAATTCCTTATATGCTTGATTAGTAGATAGAGAAAATGATTTGACATTTTCGCAGTGAACTATTTTAATTGCTGATGATAATAATTGAACAATAATCAAATGTAAATGTCTTTAAAATAACATTCCCTCTTTATTGAAATATGAACGATGTCTGACGAGAAGCAAATTTATTTTTTGCACAGTAGTATAAAATATGCATCATAGTTTTATTATTAAAATTGTGACGTCATGATTTTAACACTTCTTACAGCCGTGAGGCATGATTTTACCGCACAATAATTAGTCTAATCGCTTATTCTTTCTCGTTTTGCCCAATTTAGAATAATATATGTTTATCTGTTACAATAACTAAACAGAAAGGAAATATTACTAATCTATTACATCTAGCTTCACAGCAACCTAATCGGAGACAGCCGAACCCTTGTCTGAATATTTTTGAGATCAATCTCAAATCTCAGATTTTGTCTCAGGAATTTTAGTGAAAGCCAAACTGAGAAAAATCTCAATCTAAATTGAATTGAGATTTAAGCAAAGGTTCTGACCCTGGAAAAGTTTTTGAAAGCCGGACCTTGGCTATTAAACGATTATTTGTAGTGTTGATATCTGTGTCTTTAGGGGACCTGAGGGATGTTGCACGTAGTCATTATCCCTCATGTACAGACTCAATTAAACTGACTCTGCAATTCTCTTGTATTTTTGTTGTGATAAATGTTTCTGAGGGATCACTTTGTTTCCCAGATTTTTGGTAGAATTTTATTCTTCGGTTTCCAGAGTGTTTACTGTACAATTTAAGGTTTCGTGGGATTGTTATGGTTCTTGTTTTATAAAAAGCATTATGTTTTTTACATTATGTTTGTTTGATTGGGGTTTACGTCGCACAGACATAATATACACCTCGGGTGCCCTTCCGTGCTTTATTTCAAGCACAAAGAATTGAGTAGAACCACCGAATCTAGCTTGATAGCTTCCTCACATGAAAGAATCTCAGTCATCAGGATTCGAAACCATTGTGGTGAGGGGCAAGTGGTATGAAGTCAATAAACTTAACTACTTGGCCACGCGCGCCATGTCAATGCATTATCGTTAATAAAAAGAAAAACATTAATTTAATGAATACTTAAAAGGTGCTTGTGAATTAAAACATAAAATAAATTGAAACTTTACCTGGTGTGTGTGTTTGCTCAATTTCCCGAAGCTGTACCTACAAATTGAAATTGAACTGATTTGGACCCACTTTTGATATAATAGGGATTCAATTAAAATAAAACCGAGGGAAAAATGACAATTATAAGAAAAGTACAAGTGCCAATATTCAAGTAATGTTAATGAATTAAAAAGGCGTTGTTGATGTCAAAATTAAATGATATGTTATTTTATTGTATTTTTGCAACGAAGCTATTATTGGGTAACAACTAGAATTTAGACACTTTAGTTAGTCATAATAAAGAAATTACCATTAACTAGTAAAATATTCCGATGAGCTTGATCATCAACTAACTTGTTGTAAAATTATTATATAACATGTATGAATGAAAGTAATGAACATTTACTCCGTGAAAAACACATATCCAAGGCGATTAAAGTATACAGGCGACAAAAGTCGGAATTAAAAACAAATAGAAAAGTTCCGTTATCATTGTTTCCTATCCTCGCCGACCACAAAGTCGAAGGGATGATTAATGCAAAATCTAGTTAAATTACAAGATATTAAAAAGAAGAAAATAACAAAGTAAATACTATAATTACCGTATCATAACTTTCGTGCAACGTTTTCCTTCGTCGCCGTATGGGTCCAGGCGATGGTTTATTTTCAATCGGAGGTGCTTATTTATAGAATACGTTGTTAATATGATTGATGCTCTTAATTTTTTTAATAAAATTCAATTGCTTTAAATCTAATCAGTTACCAATTAAGAGATTGTTTTCATTTTGAATCGATCTGATAAGTTTCAAAAGGAAACAAAGGTGAAAATATCTTTGGATTAAAAATCAAAACATTTAAAAGAATGTTTACTTATTAAGCGGTTTCAAAGCTTACTGTAACCTTAACGTATTCATTATGTAAACAAGATAAAAGGAGATACTATTTCAGTAAAATGATTCCTATTCATAATTAGAAGAATAATTAAAAAATCATTGCCACTTGCATCTCCTATTCAGATCATTGGAAATTAAATATATATAAAAATCTCTGCTACCTGCGGCATCGGGAGGCATTCTTGAATCATATTGTTCATCGTCAGCATCTGGGTCCATGCATTCTTAATATAGAGGAGAAAATCAAATCATCAGGAGCTATAAGCGGATATGATACGCTGGACTTTTAAAATACTGGGCGCAATAAAGAAAGTCTGAACTATTAAAAGCTTCAATTATAAAATTTACACATATATAGTGTATCGATACAACGATGGACCTGAAGTAATCATCCGTTCAGTAACACTGATAGTAAGAGTGAAATTTAAACATTTTTAAAGCAAAGTTCTGTGATTGAAACGAAGATGATTCTTGGAAAAAAAAGATGCAAGAGTAATGAACCTTGTTATAGATGCTATTAGTGATGACAAGTGACAATTAGCTAAAGATTCTTATAATAAACCATTTTTATAAAAGAATTAGAAATCTTAAAATTGTCAATTTTCAAAAAGATTGTCAGATCTAAATCGAAATAATGAGCTACCGCTTAATTTTATATACATACTATTCATTTATTTATTAATTTTCATTCATGAATTAATTCATTCATTAATTGATGAATTCATTCATTCATCCTTTTCATCCGTTCGTTCGTTCGTTCGTCCGATCATTCATTTATTCATTCTGTGTCCATATGAAATCATAGCATTCGACTGTCTTATGGACGTGTAAGTTTGTAATCATAAAATTACCCAGATAAATTGCTTATGTTTATTTAAGGAACATAATTCCTTTTCATCATTGATATGTTTTCGTTATTTAAACCTTATTGTGCAAAAAAAATTCTAACGTGAAAATTTCAAACAGAAGTAAATACCTAGATACAACGTATCAGGGTCAAATAAGAGTCCCATTTTATTACCTTCCTGGTCTTTTCTTTGCAACAACTAGCGCAGAACGTATACGTAGACACGGCAGTGCATAAATATGACACTTGTCATACATACCTCTGAACGTTTAGATCGCAAAACGAATATCATTAAAAAAGGAATATGTAAAGATATCATTGATATTTAGACACTTATAAAAAACCTCTCTATTTGAAGCGTCGCGTGGTTTTTTTCTCAAATATTTAATTTTTGAATGTATGAATGTGTATGTATTTGTACATACACAAAAGGACAGGCTGAAATTGCTGAAATGGAATTGCATTATTAATTATGATATAAGAGTCCGTCCATACATTATGTTATATATTGCATTGAGATATATTGAAAAGCATATAAATAATTCATAATCAATATAAATAAATATAATAAGTTTATAAATTTGATTAAGATGAATATGACATAAAAATTACGACGATGAAGATGAGAAAGATGGCGCATATTACGATTATGGGATGATGATTTGTAACTATTTATAATATAAATTTAATAATGGGATGCTGATGGGAATAATGCTAATTGGGATGGAATTAGAATGGTATGGTAATGATGATGATTATAAGGATGTTAGTGATGCTTGATGGTTTTTTTTGTTGTTCTATTTTAATTGTTTTATTTGTCCATCGAATACCGATTTAAAAACTTTTTATTCATATCTCTGCGCCACCATAGCTTTCTTGGAAAAAACAGCAATAACCAATTACACCGATAGTCATTGACTTCCTACCCAACATGATATCCGAATGAGCACCTAGATGCAAATGATGGTGTTTATCATGATGACTATTATGATGAACAATGATAATAATGGTAATGTTGATGGTAATGATGATGATTGGGATGATTTTAATGATAATTCACAATTAATGCTTTGTTTAAATTTGCCATGGCTATACTTAGGCGAAATTTTGCCATGGCAGAATATTTAAATTTTGAGATACCTACAGTATGTGTAAGAATAATATTCAGTCAGATTTTTCCCAATATTTTAAGACGCTTGCATTGGCAATTTTGCCATTGGAAAGTTACAACTCGTTGCAATGTTAGATATGGCTAGGCTTTTGCTATGATAAAATACCGAAAATCCGTGGCAAAGTCCAATTTGCCGTCGCAAATGCAACCTTTAAATGCATTTTCTCAAAAACATAGTAAAGATATAACAAATACGAGACATATTAACCTTGAAATCTTTTTACTATGGAAACAATGTAAGATTTTTTGTCATTATTTTTTTTGACCACTCGTGCGTTACCTTAAATATTAAACTTGGAAATTTTAATAGAGGACCAGGATATTTTAAACTTAATAACAGTATCTTTTTAGACAATGATTTTAAATTGATGTTAAATGAAAATATAAATGAGGCGGTAATGATAAATTCAGAAGCATCACCAGATATTCTTTGGGAACTTATCAAAGGAACAATAAGAAATACTGCAATAAAAATATTCTACACATAAAAGAAAAAATGAAAACCAATTAGAAAACATTTTAATTAAAGAATTAGCTGATCTAAACAGGGCACATCAAACATTCGATAAAATTAGTAATAATAATGATTATAATACCGATAATAAAGATGAAAAAGATGTACTAGAAAGAATATCTATGAAACAAAATTAATGAATAAAATTTATATGAAAATAAAATAAATGGCTTATTAATAAGATCAAAAGCTGTCCATGTTAAAGGAAATGAAAAAAAAACTCAAAATATTTTGCAAATTTAGAAAAGAGACATGCTGAGAAAAAAGTTTTTCGAAATAAGTTATAGATGGTAAAGGAATTTTTGAAAGTGATCAGATTTTACAAGAAGTGAAATATTATAAATCATTGTACAATAAAGTTCCACAGAAAGACACAGATATTTCTTTTTTTACGATAATACAAATAAATTATCAAATGAAGAACAAGAAATGTGTGAAGGTTTTCTAAGTGAAAATGAATGTAAAACTGCTCTTTTTGAAAAAAAAAATAACAAATCACCTGGCTCTGATGGACTTACTACAGAATTTTATCAGATATTTTGGAATTAAATAAAAACATATTTTGTTAACTGTATAAACTATGCCTACAGAAAAGGTGAACTATCAGAAATTCAAAAACAAAGTATAATAACCTTAATACCTAAGGAAGGTAAAGATCAAACATCACTTTCAAATTGGCGACCTCTATGTCTTTTAAATATTGACTTTTAAATTGCTACAAAAGCAATTACTATTCGAATAAAGAAAGTATTACATAAAATAATTAGTCATGAACAAACAGGTTTTATGAAAGGACGCTATATAGGAGAAAATGTACGAGTTATATTTGAGATAATAGAACACATTGAAAAAAATAACAAGTCTGGTATTCTATTCTTCTCTGATTATCAAAAAGCATTTGATAGCTCAAATCATGATTTTATTGTTCAATGTCTTCACTTTTTTCAGTTTGGTGAATCACTTATTTCATGGGTAAAACTCTTATCTAACAAAATTAATAGTGTAATCATAAATAATGGTCACATGTCAGAAAGTTTTCATATTCAACAGGGAGTAAGACAAGGATGTCCCCTTTCTTCTTCCTTATTCACCATATGTATGCAACTTTTAACAAACAGGATTGCAAAAGATAATGACATTTAGGGATTTATGATAAATAATAAAGAAATCAAACAGACATTATTTGCTGATGATGCAACATATATAAATAATGGACAAAAATATTCTTTTGAAAAATTTATCAGTCATTAATGAATTTGGAAATATATCTGGTCTCAAACTAAATACATCAAAATCAGTTGTCTTGAAGGTTGGAGCCCTCAAAAGAATGAATTTAAAATATGCAGAAAATATTAATTTCACCTGGACATCAAAACATGCGAAAACACTTGGCATAACTTTCTACACAGACTCCAAAATGAATATGCTTAACTACTAAACTACAAGAATTTAAAACATGCTCAAAACAGTGGCAAGACCGTAAACTAACATTGATGGGAAAAGTCACAGAAATTAAGACATTTGCATTACCAAAACTAATTTATCCATTTACAGTTCTTGAAAACCCACCTGACCATATTATTAAAGATAAACAACAGCAATTTTGAACTTCTTATGGGATGGTAAAACAGATAAAATTAAGCGTAAAACTATTATAAACAACTATTATGTAGGAGGATTAAGATTATCAGATAATGCGTTCCAGAATAAAAAAGGAAATTCCAGATGTCCCTTTTCTGGGGGGCGACCTCAAGGCGCTTTTTCAGCAACAATTTTACATGCACAGATACAGACAGTACAGAGCTGACTTAGGGGAATAATTCCCCTAACTTTTTAACCTCAGACGAAACGCATTGTACCTGTTCGTTCGGCGGATATATGATACCACTATCATTTTAAATGGGTTTACTTTCTAAGGATAATGTTGGAAATGGTTGTTCGGAAATATTTCATGAAAACACACATCTTACTTTCAAATGGGTTAATATAACAGTAATTTACGCAGATTACAAAAACCTTTTAATTGTAGACGGTCAATATTTTTTAGATATGAAATAGAAGGCATGGGTTAAAAAAAACACAAATGTCTGATCATTTCTAGATTCGTGTTTTTATACTTGTTTGAGAATATAGAGTAGAGAGAAAAGGATACATCCGATATTAATTTGTATACAAGAAAAATATAATAACGGGCTATATAACATACAATGTATCACATTTATCTGTACATTTTTCATCTTACTGTTAAGAAAATAAATATATTTATCAAATAACTTACCGTACTTATTCAAGTAAAATATAAAACTTTTAAAAAATCGATAGGCATATGTTGTACTTAATTCTTATGTATAAATGTAGTGTTAAATATATGTTTTAATCATTATGCATTTTCGAAAAAAAAAGTTAAGAAGAATTGATGAAATTAAATGCTTATTTTCATTTTCCATATTTTTCTATGTATTTTTACTAAAAAAAAAACAATGTAGCATATTTTCCGTACTTATCACTGGTGTCGTAACTACTTTCGTCAATATACATATTAAAATAAACAAAAAAATAAATAATCATTTTTAAACAGAGAAAACTATAATAAACAGGCAATTCAATAGTTTTCCAAAAACTGATTATTATCAAAATATTTTATCTAATATGTGTCTACAACAACTGGTGAAATATTTATTTCTATATCACCCGATGAAATAAAACACGCAATTACAGATAAAACTTCATATCCTCTTTTCATTATATTCTTGAATATTCTTAATATAAATTCAGAAATATTGAAAAAAAATATTTATTACATAAATATAAGTGGTTCCGTTTAATTTATTTTTCACTGCAGTGAAATTATTTCCATATTGTCATAGTTGTCTTGTCGGATTATATTCTTCTAAGTCAGCCAAATCAAATAATTATAATGTAGTCAAATTTTTTTGCGGAACAAAAGAAAAACGTATACAATAAACAGAAAATTCAAGTTCTTTTTTTTCTATAAAATTTAATACAGGATTAATTTTCACATTGTGGCATGAAAGTTCTGATATATTTTACTTGTCTCGAAATATTTATTTTCATACTAGTTTCAATAGATGAAAACAAATCTGTATTTATTGAAAAGAACTCAAACATCATCTATTAAATCATGTATTATCTTCTTTTTAGCGTTTTGAAAAAAAAAACAAATGAAAATTCGGTCCTCTCTTATTTTTTATTTTTAATTCGTACATGGTACCATACATGTGGAATCTATTGTTCAATATATATTTGTTAATTGATAAAAATAAAACAACAAAAATAAATAAATAAGCAAAGCATAATGAAATGAAAGTTGTCAGACAATCAATAAAATTATCGTTCAAATTCTTAAATCCAGGTACTGTGTGATATCTTGTTGATTTCGTCTATCACGTCTGTTGTTTTGTGTTGTTTGTTTCACATATCTGAAATCAAATATTGAAACAACATTAACTTGTTTTATGATACAACTTAGTTTTACGGTGGTCATCATTTATATTATTGATCACAAGCATTAAAATGAAATAAAAGAATACAGTTTGGAATTATGAAAGCCCTTTTATCAATATTGTTAAATCAGATTCTGTATGAATGTTCATGAAAAGCGTAAAATGTAAATGTAAATAAGATAACTAGAAGAAAATAACTTTAATAAGAAAATTGTCATAGCTCGTTTATTTAATTCATATAATAATTATAATGCATATCTTCTACACATTTTCACTGTATAATGGCCTTTGCTTAAAGTATTTTATATCTATCCTTTCTTTAATGAAATGAATCGATAAAATGACAGACCCTGTAACCCTCTGTAATAGCATAGTATAAAGGTGTTATAAAATTAAAACAGTAAGGAAATAACCCCGCCTATTTATAATCAAACGCTTGAATCTGTCTAACTGATCCATAACATTACAGCTGAGATAAGGGTGAACTCACGCCATAATCTATCCAGTCCTACACATTAACCCAATATTTCAATAAATAAGTTGCTCAAAACTTCGCTTGTGCCCAAGATACGCATAAATGAGCGGTTTGTTTAACGATGACATTATATGTTCAGATGAAAAAAGATCTCAAATTAATTTAGACATTGAATATTATGACAGTTTATAAGATATTCTGTCACTTGTAAAATTAGTCTTTTTTTCTGATGAAATTAATTTACGGAAACAATCTTATGCAGATTATTTCAAAGTAATTTACCTTCTCTCCGCTGAAGTAATTAAATGTAAAGTTTATAACTTTTTTTACGAATATATGTTTATGTCAAAGAGTCGACATGTGTGCGTCTTTAATTATCATGTGCTCACGAAATACTAAGTTGGGCGAACGAGATACTATGTCGTGACAACCTGTTACTTTTTCGTGCGCTAGAGATATTTAAGTGGGGCCCACAATATACTATGTCTTGGCCAGGAGTTACTAAGCTGTGCTTACGAGGTAATTAAGTCGTGCCCAGGAGATAATTAACCAATCAGATAAAATTATATAATTATGAATGTTTTAAACTTTAAAAAATTCTGGTTAAAATTTTACATTCAACGTATCTATTACAATCTATTACACTACTTAAGATATCCACTTCAAACA